CTTGGCCCAGCTGTCAGGCACTCAACTTCCCAATTAACAACTGGAAAAAGAACTTGAACCACAGGAAGGAAGAAAACTCAGATTTTCCCAAACACATAACTAATGAAAAAATTAGCTTAGTCTCTAACACATCTTTGTTTTTCTCATAAAACACAAATGTCAATTTGGAAAACAATATGCCAACAGAGGTTTCTCCACATAGAAAAGTTTCATATGGTATCTGACTGGGCCATGTGCCAAGCATTCCTCCTTAAGGAGTTGACACAAATTAATGTAAAACTGGAAATGAAGCAGCCAAAATTGTTGACTAGTTTCCTCTTATTAATTCAATGGAAAGACTGAAAGGGTCTCGACTGTAGGTCACGGCTTCTGATCTCAAGGAAATAAGTAACAGAGAAGAAAAATCCTTTTAGTCTACATCTTAGATATTCCTTGGGTCAAAACTGAAACGAGAAAAAGTATGTCCCATGCGCTGTCCTTGCTCTTCCCACTCATTATCCTTGCATAATGCACGGGACATACTTTTCTCACCCAACCCTTCCTGACCAGAAGAGTTTTTCCCAGCATGACAGACGACTGTAAATGCAAATGAGCAAGGAAGGAAACACTAGGGACTCCAGTTCACAAGAGTGACTACAACAAGGCTTTGGGGCATCAGCCAAGGCGAATGTGGAGAAGCCCTGGCTAACTGCATAGGCACTTTGGGAAATGCGTTATTCCTCTTGTCTACAGAGCGACAGGGATGATCATGGAAAAGGGGGTCAGAAGACACGGACAAGTCCTTTACTTAGATGTTTTTCAGGGCATGAACACTGAAATCGTTAAGATTACAACTTAAGAGGGCAGAGCAAGATGCTGACTAGAGTTGTCTGGTGCTTCTACACACCACAGAAAGAGACCAAAACAACAAATAAACAATGATATTTTGACTGAACTGAAGAAATATGCTGCAGAGCACCAGGGGAGTGACGAAATCCCTGTGGAGCATGGAAGGCCAGGACGGCACTACAGGAAGCAGAGCGAGGGGTCCTGCCTCTGCCTTGCTGTCAGGTGGAGTGAAGGTAAGCTGGAAAAACCCCAGCTGTTCCCACTGCCGCCACAAATGCCGGCAACCCCTGCTACAGAAGAGTCCTCCAGTCCTCTCAGGCCCCAAATCCAGTTTGGAGAGTAGCTGGAAGTCTGTACAGCTGCAGAGCTTCACAGGAGAAGCCCAGGGAGAGCAACCCCTGCCTCCCGCCCTCAGCGACTACAGCACAGTGCCATCTTGAAACCAAACCTGCAGCCAGAGTGCGTCCTGCCCTGGGGGCCAGGGAAACTGACTCCCTCCGTCCTGAGGCCCTACCTACATCCTACCACGTTCACAGGGATGCCTGCAGAGACACGATCCCAGCTGCTTGGAGCCTAGACCAGACAGAAAGACCAGGACCCCAGCATCTGAACCCACGCAGCACTCCCTTCTGCCTCAGGAGAACACACAGACCTGCTGAACGGGGAAGCCGCTGATAAGCTGAGATCTATCACATTTGCATGCACACGCCCTGCGCAACCCACTGGCACACCAAGCCCACTGGTGCCCTGACAGTCAGTCTGATGGTAGTTCTGCTCCCCACCCCCCAGCCCCCACGACTCTCCAAAGAGCCACTAGGCCCTGCTGCACTAGTGTACACCTGCTCCCTGACCAGCTTTGCTTCTCCAGAGCTACTAGGCCTGGGTGCACCCTGGCAGGCTTGCTGCAAGCTCAACAGCTGATCTGGTGGCCCTCCATGGAATTGTTAGGCCCTGCTGCAAAAGTGTATGCCTGTTCCCTGCTTGACAGTGGATCAGGCAGTGGCTTCACCTTCTCCATAGAGCAGGCCTCCATAGAGCCCCTGGCCCTGCCTGCGCCCATGCATGCCAGCTCCTGGCCAGCAGCGGCATCCACTCCTCTGACAGGCCTTAGCACAGCTGCTTGACTCCCCAACTCTGCACTCAGGCACACCTCTTTCCAGTTCAAAAGCTGCTCAGGCAGGGCACCGCCCCCTGGGAGGGACAACTTCAGAGCTGCGTGCCCACACCTGGCCTGATAGCCAGTCAGGCAGCAACTGTGAGCCTCAGAGAGGCTACCAAACAGCCACTTGATCCTCGGTGCCCACACATGCCCTGGCCCAACAACGAGCCCAGAGTCTCCAACCCAGCAAAACAGAGCCAGTGTTGGCACAAACTCCAACAGTCTAGGTCACTGAGGCATCTGCAGACATCACTGAAGAGGATTACAACCAAAGAAACTGCACAGAGACTATGCTACTGAGTCCACCCAAAACCGAAGCCAATACAACATATCCAACAGACACCCTAGGTCCCACCTCCAGGAAAAAAGTCATTTCTACATAACCTACTCCATAAGACAGGTAAAAGCAACTACTCTATTAGATGCGCAGATATCAACGTAGAACACAAAAAACATGAAAGAGCAAGGAAACATTGTCCCCAAAGGAACACAATAGGTCACCAGTAACAGATGCCAAAGAAAAGGACAGTTACGAAATACCTGTAAAGGAATTTCAAATAACGATCTTAAAGAAACTCAACAAGAGACAAGAGGACACAGACAAACAATCCAAAGGAATCAGGAAAACAATTCATCATCTGAATGAGAAATTTAACAAAGGGACAGATAGCATAAAAAGAGAACCAAACAGAAATCTTGGAGCTGATAAAGTCAATGAATGAAATAAAATTACAACTCGAGGAAAAAGAGTATACCAAGTTTTTTCCCTAATATCTTCCTTCTTGAAAGAGCACTGATCTATTAGTGATTGGAAACTCTAATATCCACTTTAAACCTAATAAAGGGTGAATCTTCTTTACCTGGTGGTTTAGGGATGAAAAGACATTTGTTTTTAAGCCATACGCCTATTTTTAGGACTAACATGGAAACTTCTTCGCAGTTTACCTGACCACAGGCTGCTAGCATGCAGCAGTACTAAGTTCCAAGTGCCAATCATTTGAATGGAGTCTACTACCCCGGATTACTTCTGGCTAGACCATAACACCTACAGGGTAGGTACTGAAATACATATTTCTTTGACCTAAGTCTCTTGTACATAGAATGTTGAGAAATTTTTTCAAGGCAAAAAAATTGATTTCAGTCTTCAAACAAGTTTTTGTTTTCACATCATGAAGCAAGGGCAGATGTCCTTTGGAAGCATGACTATATCATCCATTCAACGATTGTTAAACCCAACATCACACGTGCTCAGTAAAAGTCATCACACACATTTAGAAGGGCCATTGCTGTTCACAAATATCATTAAATGTTCATGGCTGCATACTTGTATTCTATTTGAGGGATTTCATTATATTCTAGGAAATGATATCATACTTTAGTATCTCAAATTGCATCATCCAAAAGGATTAAGATGAAATATTTTTTTTAAAGAACATCTTTCCCGAAATCTGATTGCTTCATATTATCTTTTGGTGCCACCCCAGCCTCCTCTGCTCACAACTGCTCACAATTCTGCTACTCAGAGTTGCTCACAGCAAACTCTGAAATAGAAATATTATACACTAGAATCTTACCACAGGCGAGGAGACAGGAGTCACTGTTGGACTGGAGTTCAAGTCATTGGAGTGTGAAAGCTTATGCTATGGGAGAAGAATCAGAGCTCTGTGACCTCTTTGAATTGATCAGAAAAACAAACGATGGTTACTCTCATCACTGAGGTCTTTTGACACAGGAGGGAAGGGTAAGATAGACAAAAAAGTGTTGGCTTGAACATCATTTTTAAAAATGTTCAGTTTTTAGCAATCAGTACAATCTTGCTAGACCTCCCATCTGCATAGGAGATGCACTATCACTGAAAAATTTAGAAAAATTGTTACAGTAAGGACGTAATGATCGTCTTATGCTTTATAACAAATCATGTTCCCTTGAAGTTGCAGTGTGCTGTAAATTAACATCAAAGAAAAGAATTCTTAACCCCACCAACTGGCAAATACAGGAATTTCAACTGTTCTGATATAATGACTCTAAGTAAATCACTATTAATTTCTTACTTTCCAACCTACTAGTCAACCAGAAACAGTCAGAATTGCTGATGAAATTACAGATCACAGAGGAGTCTCTCTAATGCATTTCTTGCTTTTATCCTCTAAGCACAGCAAGTTCCAAACTAAAAACAGCTTTTGATTCATATTAGCATTTTAAATATAGTTTCTAAAAATTACCTTTAAGAGGCAGTGAACTAAGAATGGGATATGACTCGACAAGTATTTTTATTGATGTAACTTTTCCTTCCATGTTCTGAAAGTCATACCTTTGAATTTAAAAGATACCATATTTTTACCTGTTGTGGAGGGGATGGCACAGATAGAAGACTGGATGGAAAAAAATCCAAAATGTATGAATTTCAAATTATAGCCTATTTTTCCTACATTTGGTAGGCTAGATTACATTTTGACACTAGTAAAGAATTATCCATTCATCTTAAGAACAGATTAATTATTGCAATATTTCATTATGAAATTCTCTATCCATAAAATCCCTTATTGCTGCTCTATGAGTAATTACTTCAAGTACCATCTCAACTGCTTATGAAATTAAGAAAAATATTTTTAATGGTTTTTAAAGAGTACACTATAAATACAAAAAAAATGCAAGGTCTTCTATTTGGAAAGAATAGGTATTTTGACCAAATAGCAGAAGAACTTTGAATGTCATTATAACCCATTTAAAATTATAGCCTACATCATCTTAGTAGCAGTGGTTTCCAACAATTTGCAGTAATATCCGCAAAAAGAAAGCTGTATCTAATGACATAGGTACACAGCTAATATATAGAAACTAACTCATTTACACAACACAAGAATTTAAGCCAAGTAATCTGATCATTCCTTGAACTCATTGCAATAATGCGATATTGCCACCGTTAAGTTAATTATAACCCATGGAGGAAGTGATCCAGTTGGCTAGCAAGTGAAATGATCAGAATGTGAATATTTTAGAATAAATCAAGTACCTGAGAGTTTCATGAGAAGTTCAGATGCTGCTTTGACTGACATATCCCGCCTGAGCACACTGCCCTTCCCTTCCTGGAGCTTAAGTGTGTCCTCAGAGATGCTTGGGGCTGACCCTTCGGATTCCGGGCTGAACACATAGCTGGAGCGAGGCAAGGGCGTGCTTAGGGCCTCCTCTTCATTAGGTTCCTCTTTCACTTTAAAATTAAGATTCATGGGCTCCTTCTGATTTGCAGCTGTCAAAAGAAAAAAAGGATTTTATATATATATATATATAAAAGGCCACTCCCCCTCTTAGCTGCCCCAGTACTTAATGAAGTATGGAATGTACAATCACACTGTGCTAACAGCCGGAGTGACCACAACCTGATCAAAATAGGCTGGGCCCTGGGCACAAAAATACAATACTCTCCATGAGCCTCAGACTCTGAAGAACGTGGGCTTCTGAATCTTCTGAACATATAATATTTTAAGAAGTGCTGCCTCTACAAAGTATTTGGGCATTTTTCATTTGGTCTCCCTAAACTTCTTCTTTCCTGAATATGTTGCTGCCTCCTTGATCTATCAGAACTCACCCTACCTAATCCTATTATAGAATAATGCTCTCCGGCAATTACTCTGCCATAAAATATTGAATAAGAACATGAGTCAGAGGCAATACCCAAGGCAAAAACCTGGGGTAGGGTGGTAAGAGAGGATGAAGGATTTGCCGAGTAGAAAAGCTCACTTTTCTATACCACTCTTGCCTCATTACAAGCCAACTCCACTGACCCCTACATAGTGGGGTGTGTACTTGACATTGTTTTTCTGGTCACAGTGAATAAATCCATATCTATAAACAAAGTCGTCTCTGAGGCCAAAATGGGCTTTTTCTTTTTTTAAAGAAAACTTTTTATTTTGGAATAATTTCAGATTTACAGAAAAGTTGCAAATACAGTTCAAAGAGTTCCCATATATCCTTCACCCAGCATTCCCTAATGTTAACATCTTACATAACCCTGGTACATTTGTCAGAACTAATAAATTCACATTACTGTGATCTAAACTCCAAATTTTATTCAGATTTCACCATTTTTCCACTAATGTCTTTTTTCCATTTTTAACATGGTTGGTTGGTGTGGAGTGTGTGGTCAGGACAGAGCTAACTGGCCTATTATGGGGTGGATTCTGTGGCTCAGCTAGACTGTACCGGGCCCTCCCCACTTGGCTACACACTACCCAGGAGAGAACAGGAAGGAAGAGACAAGTCCCCTCTTCCTACCACTTTCTACGTTCACAGGCATCTTGCTCCCCTTTAAAGGTGCATGTAAGTAGGAACTTTAGGTTGATTATATCGTCCCTCTGTCTTTTGAAAAAGAGGATCACATACTAATGCAGAATTTGTAGTAATGTTTATTAGAATGAGCCCTAAGCCCATTCCATTTTAACAAACAAAAAGATAACAAATCCCCAAAGCAAAAACCTATCACCCCTCCCCACTGCCTATTCCAAGCCAATACATAAGCACAGTCTTTTTTTTTCCTACCTCATGCCCCTCTAAGAATGTACATTCTGGAATCACAAGTTCACTGGACCCACCCAAGAGGGCTAAAGTAACATTTGGAAGTGTGACTTCCAGAAAGATGCAGAGCTGGGACTGGAAAATAGGTCGTTAAGTTGCCCATCCTGTGTCCCTTACCTGCCTCCACCACACTGCTCCTCTTCTTCTGGTCCTGGTGTTATAACAAAACTTGAATGTAAGTTGACCTTCAAATCTTTGCTCAAATACCACCTGCTCAGTGAGGTCTACCCTAACCATCCTGTTCAAAATTGCAACCCCCACCCGTATAGTACTCCCAATCTCTCTTACCTTGCTCTAATTTTCCTTTTTTCCCCCCAAAATACTTATCAAATAAGAACATACTGGTATGAACTGATATGTCCCCCCACAATTCACATGTCGAAGCCCTGACCCTCCAATGTGAATATATTTGAGTTAGGGCCTTTTGGAAGGTAATTAAGGTCAAACGAGGTGCCCTAAGGATGGTGCCCTAATCCAATGTGACTGGTCCCATATGAGAAGAGAGAGACACCATGGATGCTCATACAGAGAGGAATGTCCATGTGAGGACACAGTAAGAAGGTGACTATCTGCAAGCCAGGAAGAGAGGTCTCAGGAGAAAACAAACCGGCTGACACCTTGATCTTGGGCTTCTAGCCTCCAAAACTATGAGAAATAAATTTCTGTTATATAAGTTATCCAGTCTGGGTATTTTGTAAGGCAGCCCTAGCAGACCAATCACATACTATACACTTTTTTCTAATATATCATGTTAACCATTTATGGTCTGTTCCCTCAACTCAAAGGTAGGCTTCATGAATGCAAGGATCTTTGTTTTAATGCTGATGTATCTCGGGTGCTAGTATAGTGCCTGGTACATAGTAGGTGCTCAATATATGTTTGTTGAATGAATAAAATGTGCTAGCTCCAAATTAGTGACATCTGATGGGCATTCCAATATTATCTACAGTTAACAGAAACTAAGTACCCCCAAATTTCCCATCAAAAGCAATCAGAAGTGTTTTCCCTGGACCTAATCATTAGATGGGGTATAAGGTCTTTGAAGTAAAGTTAAAAGCTTTGCTATCTACACCACTGCACATACTGAGATGTCTTTGAATAATTACTTGGGCTCATTACTAAAGGAGTCCAGAAAATTTTCAAGGAAAGTGCTGAAAATCTCGCCCTTTTGGGCAATGCCATTGGAATCTGAACCAAAGGGAACAACGACAGTCTCTAGAGCAATCCTCAAACATGTATTTCTGACCTCTACCAGGACTTTGTTTATTTAGCACACTTCTCCCTTTTGTACCTTTCAGCCACTTCCTGGGGGTTTTTGCTGGTCCTCTCCTAAAGCTTGCTCTCTCCTGATCCCTTTCTTCCAAAACCCTTTGTAAAATCCTTTTCCAAGAGCATCCTAGTTAGTCATGACAAAGTAATTAAATAGTGTGGGTTTATTAAGTCTGTGACTTAGATTCTTTGGGGAGAAATAATTTAAAGTGAATAGATGAATGGTATGTATTTTAAAAATGTTTCAGAGCTGTATTTTTTATTTAAAAACATTTTAAATTCTAAGATGAGGCCAGGAATGGGATAAGAAACTATTGAGGCCCTAGAAGCAAATCCCACCTTCTAGACATGGCAACAATTAAGTGGATGCTCTCTGAACGCAGCACCTTACACCGCTCGGCCATCCTGACACTAAGTGGATGCTCTCTGAACATATAAGTGGCTTCTAGGAGCATGAGACTGTAGAATACATGAGAATACATGCTGCGTGAGACTGAAGAAAAAAAATAAAGATACTTAGCATTGTTAGCACAACCTGCATTAAAGAGAACTTCAATAAGACACTTAGAGAACAACAGGCAAGCTGTATGTTGCTAGATCGTAAATTTGCAAGGCTGGTTTTCATTCCGACAATATCAAGAATGACATAAAACTATAATGTGCTGAGGAAATGTAAATATAGTTGATGACATACCTGAAAAACATGTGGGAAACACTCATTTGTCCAGGTTTTAATTTCCTAAACATTTGGGTCTAAATAGAAGATTTAAAAATAGAAATATGAAGGCTAACCTGTCTTCTTTTAATTACCAGAAATATTTACATTGAGAATAGTACATAAAGCCTATACTTTGAAATTAATATGACTAAGTAATTACCATCCTTTTAATTATCCTACTTAAAAAAAAAGCCCACATGTGCAGAGAAAAGTGGAATTAAGGGTGTTTTCTTTTTCTTTGGGGAAATTGCTAAGAAAAACGTTAACAATTCATGACTCACTGCTTAGTCTTTACTTCATTCCTACTACTAACACAGAAAGATGGTGCACATATGGAACTCAGCCTGTAAAGGCCTTTCACAATACCTGCCTTGACTTCTGTTTACGTATCTTAAAGTTTCCAGATATTCCACGAATCAAGAGACCCCCTTCTCTCACTGTTTGTTCCAAACATTTTAGGACCTGAGCTGCTCTGATTATAAATTATGTATATCTGTAAGTTCATGCAGTCAGTGGGGTTGAGTTGCCATTGAAAAAAAAAAAAAAACCCAGCTTTTTAAAAGATTTATAAAGGATTTAAAATAAAGGTGAATGTAGGAAAGGAATGGGAAAGCCACTGGGATAAAATGATTCCAATTTTTTACTTCTAAGAGGCAGGTATCAATGAGTTGGAAAAGAACCCCCTCTTTACAGCAAGGTGTCATCAGTTCACACATGGAGATTCCTTCTAAGCCCCCTGCACCCCAAGGAAAACTCTATATAAATTCCTTAAAGACCATTATTTGTTTTAATAATGCATACAACTAGCATTCGAATAGTTATTCAGGGATTTTGCCTTGCATCAACCACAGGAGACAGGTACTACTATCTTCACTTAACAAGTGTGGAAACTATAAGGTCTCAAGAGCCTAATGAATGGACCGACTCCCCGAATCACAGAGCTGATATGTAGAGATGCGGGGCTCCAGAGCTTCTGGCTGAAAACACACCCGAGCCCTTTTTTTTTCTCTCCAGGACACCTAGGTGTCTTTCAGAAGGACACTACCCTAAGTTGTTGAACCACAGGCTTTGGAAAATAAGTGATATGGAGTGAATTAAGTCTTGGTAGTGAGAAAGGGAAGGATAGGTGTCACCTGGAAGGAAGGGACATTCTCTCGTAGGAAGGAATCTTGTGAAGATTTGACTAAGGATGAAAGAGAAGGAATGGGCAGCAAAATGAATGCTTCTGTTCTGTCCTATGGATTCCTTCTGGTGAAGGAAAATGACACCTTTCTTTGAGATTAATAAGACAGAGTTCTCTTTCAGTTCAGAGTCTGGCAATTTTGTGAATGCTGAACTACCCCATGAAAAAGGAAGGCCATTGAGAATTTTATTTACTATCTCACCCTAAACCAGAGCCAAAGACTCTTGGACCCAGAAGGGATCACAGAGCAATGATTTTCAAACAGTGTTCCAAGGAACCCTAGGATATACTTCAGAGGTTCCAATAAACATTTGTTTCAAATTTAAGTTTAAAAAATATTTTTAGACTAATTTAAAAATGTGCACCTTAGCTGTGTTATACATAAAAAAATCAACTCTCTGGAAACCAACTAACATGAAATTGTGTTGACAAGTTAATTCAGTTGTGTGTAGCCTGTGTAATACAGTTTTTCCTGCTATCATGGGAATGTTAGAGTTCTCATAAT